TTTTTCTCTGTGTTGTAAGACTTATGCAGACCACAAACAAAGGACTGGATGGATTTATTTAACATTTTGTGGGTCAGTAGACACTCAGGTTACCCAGATATATGTTTAAAAACACTAAGTGGATTTTTCATAATATTTCCGCTTTACAGGGGGTAAGAAACGAGATAACAAACTCCACGGCGGTTATCAAGTGTGTTGATGATGAGTTGAGCCGTTTGAACCTCATTCCCTCTGAACTCTCCTGGACTTCAGTCAGCTGTGAAACAGATGAGAGAGACACAACAATGAGAGAACGAAAGCGAGATGAGCAGCTGCAGAGGAGAGAGGGTTTCATTTAGTTTGAATGTCAGCAGCTCAGGATGACTCTTGTGTGTGTCTCCTCCTCTGCTTCCTTTCTGCTCTTATTGTCTCTCTCCTCCGTCCCTCGCTCTCTCCCTTTTTCTCTGGCAGACGTCCAGACTCGCTAGTGACTGAACTGATCAGCTTACATTTAGGTCTCTCTCTCTCTCACTCTCACTCTCTGTCTCTCTCTCTCTCTCTCTCTCTTTCTCTCCCTCTCTCTGTCTCCCTCTCTCTCACTCCCTCTATCTCTCTCTCTCTCTCTCTCTTTCTGTCTCCCTCTCTCTCCCTCCCTCTCACTCTCTCTCTCTCTATCTCTCTCGCTTTCTATGTCTATCTCTCTCTCTCTCCCTCCCTCCCTCTCTCACTCTTTCCCTCTCTCTTTCACTCTCTCACTCTCTCTCAATCTCTCTCCCTCCCTCCTTCTTTTACTCTCTCTCTTGTTGTCTCTCTCTCTCTCACTCTCACTCTCTTTCTCTATCTCTCTCCCTCCCTCCCTCTTTCACTCTCTCACTCTCTCACTCTTTCCCTCTCTCTCTTTCACTCTCTCTCTCTCTCACTCTCTCTCTCACTCTCTCTCACTCTCTTTCTCTCTCTCTCTCTCTCTCTCTCTCCTTCTCTTTCTCGCTCTCACACACTCTCTTTCTCTATCTCTCTCCCTCCCTCTTTCACTCTGTCACTCTCTCTCTCTCACTCTCTTACTTTCTCTCTCTCTCTCTCACACTCACACACGTTGCAGTTGCGTGACAGCGAGGCAGGTCACACTCGGCAGACACACACGCACACAGAGGTAAAGGCATGACTTGCATGCACATGCGCAGACGGACGGACGGAGAAGACACGGCGCCACACACTCTCACTGGCTCTCACACACACACACACACACACACACTCACACAAGTGGTGGCGTGACTTGAATACACGAATGCAGACAGACGAATTCACACGCTGACTTTGGAAGGTGCCAGCAGGAGGCCTTCAGATGGTGCAAAGGCAAATTGAGACATAAATCATTTCCTCGGCGGGGGGAAGATTAGAGCTCCAAACAACAGCAGCTTCCACCTCAGTCAAACACTGATACAACACACAGACAGTTTACGCTCCTCTGCATACACCCACTGTCGCTGCAGCGCCCCCTGCTGCATGACTGGGACATTTTAAGGTTTTAAAGGAGGAGACAAAAAACGATAAAAAGGGGGCTGGACTTTGATTAAAACCTGATCAAGATATTTATCTCTTTTTACTCGATGCTCTCTTCCTCCTCCACTGACCCTCTCTCTCCCACAGGTGCTGGCAGGAAGTGAGGAGAGGTGCTGACAGGAAGTGACCAGAGGCAGAGCTCGGCATTGACGGCTGTTCTTTGGAGTTCTAACCAGCATCAAAACCATCCTAAATATCATCATCATCATCATGAAGGTCGTAGGTGTTCATAAAGAGCTGGGTCTTTATCTTTTTCTTAAAGGTGCAAAGGGACTCTGCAGATCAAATAGAGTTTGGTAGTTCATTCCACCACCGGGGGGCGACAGAGGAGAAGAGTCCAGTTAGATTCTTAGGACCCTGTTGGGAAGGTTGGATCAGATGCCTTTCATTGGCAGAGCGTAGTGGGCGGGAGGGAGTGTAGACCTTTAGGTTTAGGTAAGAAGGAGACATTTTGGCTGTTTTGTAAGCGAGCAGCAGAGTTTTAAATGGGAGCCGGTGGAGGTAAGCTTACTCTGTCTCTTGACAAATTATTCAGAAAATATATTCTGTAGAACAATTGTGTCCTTCCCTTGCAGTTGACTCCTTCATGTGAATTTCAGGGGAGTTTGTCATGTAGCACTGGAGGAGAGAGGAAGGCTTCAGGAGTGGATGCGTGGCCAAAGAGCACAGCATGGCCGTTTTTGAAACCGCCTTCCTTCAAACTGCTACGAACAGCTTTGGACAATATTTTATAGTGTACCAAGTCCGGCTGGTTTTTGAAGCTGTTTTCCAGCCCAAAAAGTTGATTTAAACTCCAACCTACCACTGACAAGGCAAATAGCCAATCATAGTTCAAGGGTTTGGGGCGGCCTATCAGATTTCTAGGGTGGCCCTGGCAAGCCCTTGGCTCCGCCCCTGGCCAGGTTGCAGTTTTGCCTCCTAGTCTGACGGATGAGTCAGCGGTCAGAATATGACAGCCCGGACAGGAAGTCAGACAAGGAAACGCACAGAGCATCCGGTCAATTTCAAAATAAAACACAACATACGGACTCGCGATCATATTTTTCATCACTTTATCAACATTACGTCAAAACAGGCTCAGAATTAACAACAATGCATCCTCAGAAAGACAAAGCAACGTGTTTTTTACATGTTTTTCTCTTAATTCCCGCGGGATCTTGTAGTTCTCCTGTGATGTGTCATGGGTGCGCTGCTCTGCGCTGACGTCCCAGAAACGGATC